GGAGGCAAGGAGGCAAGGAGGCAAGGAGGCAAGGAGCCAAGGAGCCAAGGAGCCAAGGAGCCAAGGAGCCAAACAAAAAGTCAGAATTTTAAAATTAAATTATCTTACTACAACATCTCTCACCTGTAAACTGTCTAGGGTTTGGTTCATTATTGGCCCAATTTTTACATCGAACCCCGGCACTGTTAAAGTTCAACCACATGAAAACATCACTCCAGATCCACGCGGCGCGATAATGGGTCTGGCACAATGGCTCTTGTACGACCCTGACTAGGGTAATGAACCTTCCATCCTCGTCTCTGAAGATAATATAAAACAATTTCACTTTTAGGGTATGATCTGTGAGCCAGCTCAGAGTGCCCTGACTTAGATAATCTCAGGGATGTTTCAGGGTTCGATCTGTGAGGGCCGTGCCCTGACTTAGATCAGCCCCAAAGGGTTGTCTCAGGGTTCGATCTGCGAATTAGCCGTGCCTTGACTTAGATCAGCCCAGGGGTCGTTTCAAGGTCAACACGTACCCTTCACCTTGTCCAGGAGGCACATTAATGATACACCTGCCATCGTTTGGGCGCGTACTGATAACAGTATAGTGACTGTGGAACCGAATGTCATCGTCGTTTTTCACATATCTTGATACTTGTACTGAAACCATTTGGGACGAGTTACCGAGCAGTCCACTATCCCAGGTTATCTCAACGTTTACGCCTTCCACCCAAGTATCAGGACTGTTGCGGGTAACCCGCGGGATGACCTTGGTGATTGGGACTGTATGAAAATATAATCAAGTTAACATGATGAAAACGGTTCCGAGTATGGAAAACATCGTTATAAATCCAAGTTTTGGATCAAATTAATTTGTCATTTTGAGGTTGAGGAAAGAACTGGGTCTAGTTGGCATTGCAGTGCATCATGGGGCTGTTCTAGGACATATATTTTCAAGATGGCTTCGTCTATTTCGTCTCCTAAAACAAGGTACTTAATCTATTTTAAGGTTGGTTTCAGGAAATTTCGAAATGGGCTATCGTACGTTGTACATGAGCCCACAATACTTTATAACCTATGCGCATGCGTTCTTCTGCCCCATATCAACATCCCCATATCAACATCCCCATTTTCACTCGTAACGCAATCTCGTACCGAGCCTTGAGTTTTCATTGCGTCGTGTTTTGTCGAGCATGCGTGGTAAAAAAGGGCTCTGCGTACGAGATTGCACTCGTCGCAATGGGTAAAATTTTGAAACAAAACATTTTCAGAATCAAAAAACGTTTATTTTCGGCCCAGACATGGGGAGAATAGAGGAGTCCAAATATGTCTTACCGTAAGTGAATAGTCCATGGAAGTCGAAGCTCCCACCGTTGTTACGGGAAACCCTTAAGGGTACTCTACCAGTCTTGTTTGCCATGGGAACAGCACAGAATGCTCGTATGGCATTGATATAGGTTCCTTTGGTCTCTTTTTCGCCGTCGAATTTGCATATAATGCGGTCATATGGTTGGAAACATGGACCAGCTACGAGTATGTTATCTCCTCCTAACATGGAGCCGAAGCTGGGAGAGATGCTAAGAGATCCTTGGATAAAAATTAAATAAATAAAAATATCAAATAGACCCTTTTGTCGTAAGCCTAATTCCCCCCCCCCCCCCCGAGATCGCATTTCCTCCTTTAATGAGGGATCTGCTGCTCCCTACTTACCTTTGGCGTTGTACCCCCTGCTTCAGTGTTGGCCCTATCAATACGGGAAGGTGGACCCCTTGTAATCAACGTTTGTCGTTTGGGGAAGATTGCGAATAGCGTCTGTTCTTACCTCTGACGTTGCACCCTCCTCCTTCAATGTCAAAATTATCAATACGGAACATCCACACCCCTGGCATTGCAACGTTTGACGTTTTGGTAAGATTGCGAATAGCGTCTGTTCTTGATCCAGGAATCGTAAAATATCGTATGCCATCACCAGCGTTGAATCCACACTAAGTTCGTAAATCAAAACAAATTAAATATGATTTGAAAAAACTTAGCTATTTGTTTTGTTGTTGTTGCATGTATGCTGCATGTTCCTTGTTGCATGTTATTTACTGAACTTGACATGTATTATATTCATAAGTAAATAACGTCAGCACAGAAGAAAATATAATCAAAACTGTGCAGAAAAAAATTGGGATATCAAAACTATATTCTAGTGCATTTTTTATCTATTTTTATACTCTTTCGTATTACGGAGGACATTATCTTGACCTCGAATTAAAAAAATATTGAAATTTTTCATTTTCCCGATTTTATTTTCACCTATCACTTAGACAGTAGACGATTTACTAAATGACAAGTGGTCAGAAATGGGAAACCTTTACGCCCAAGCTAAATAGTTCTATTTAAACATTTATGCGAAGCATATCTCGAAATTAAAGTGTCCCTTGCTTACCTGAGCAGGAGTGCCTCCAAGTCCCTGTGCGTCACCACCACTAGCAGTTCCCGTTGTCCAGACGATAGAGTCGTAGTTGTACCTGACAAAGGAATGTCGGCCATTTGATATCAAGATCGCCTGGAATGTGTTTGTCTATTGAAAGAAAAAAAAAAGACTTAGTTATACCATCAACATAATACTAAGCGAGTTTATAATCTAGTGGGGAAACATGCTTTGCTGGACAGGGGAGCCTGTCGCGAGGAAGGTCATCATCGATCATCGTCATCATGTATCATCGTCATCATGCATCATCATCACTATGAATCATCAACATTTATTATATTCACGCACATCACCATCATCGTAAAAGGTAATTAAAGGTATTTGATATTTTTAAACGAGTGAATATAATAAATCCGTCGCGCATTGGTCAAAATTTACGTTTTATGCTGCTATATTCACCTACTGGTGATTATAACGCGCGCACGCGAACGCTCGTTTGTCGATTTGTGCCGCTTACAGAAATATATAGAATTTGAAAAAACAAAAACTCTCTCTCCGTTATTTATTAAATTCACTTGAGTTAAAATTACTAAAACAATTGTTCGCGTCCGGCTCAGTGAATAGGCAGATTAAGATTCCCGTTTTTTCTCCCCGCAAACGGTAAATGTGACCACGTTTTCATCGTTTACCTACATTTCATATTTCCTTTTGCAAACCTCGACAAAGACAAGTATTCTTTTGTTTATCTACTACTTGGAGATTTTTGCGATTCCTTTTCACTAATTTTAAAGAATTCTCTAATGGTCAACTAACGTTTAACGTTTGCCGTAAATGAGAATCTTAGGCTCTCTAATATCGGGGAATATTTACCTCGCCGCTCGAAGACTCGTGTCTCGGTAAATATTCCCTGATATTCACTTCGCCTTCGGCGAATAATTGTTAAATGTATTTTTTTTGTTAAATGTATTTTTATTACTTCGGTAACGCGGGGAGAGGTTGCCTAATTCTTCCTAGCCAGGAGCTACAGCTATTCAAAAAACGTTGTTGGCAGGAGATCTGGAATCACAAATCTAAGACCGAGTGGAGCTGTGGGGGACTGGGAGTGTTTTCTCTTTAAAAATTCAAAATACACTTAGCTAGACAATTCGTCAGCGCAGGTCATCGCTTTTCATCACCTTTTTTCAAACAACTGATTCAAATCACAAAACAATAGACCGTTTCCTCAAGGTTGCGTGCGCATCCAAATTTAAGGAACTTGACGGGCCACGATACCAGAAAAGGAACTTTGTAATGAGGATTAACACAAATATCTATTAGATTTTTCAATAAAAATTTATCAAATCGATTATTTTCCTCTTTAAATATAAAACTGGCTTCTCAATTTTACTGAATTTGCGTTTTTTAGTTTTGTGGCCCGTCAAGTTGGATGCGCACGCAACCTTGAGAAAACGGTCTATTCATTGCTTACAACCCTTAGTAAATATTCTCTTGTGTATAAAGCAATCAACTCACTCTGTTTCTGTTTAAACCACTCGCTCCAAAAAAGGCAACTCGATCCCATGTTGCAATAAAAGCCCACGTGGCAACGAAGTTGAACTGTTTCACAAACGTCTGCCTGATGTCGTTGGTCGCCTTTTCAAGTATTGCTTGGTCGGTTGTTTCTCTGTACCAAACCTTACCACCTTTCGTCGTATCGACATCTGCCCAGAACGCAGTAAGCAGACGTTCGTTGTTTCCCAGGGGGAAGGGGTCGGGAGTAAATTTCGACACTTGTATCAGAAAAGACACCACGCCGTTGGTATTAACCTGGGTAGGAAATGATAGTTAATAAAGTATTATTATTAATTATTAACGATATAGATAATAATAATAATAATAATAATAATAATAGTAATAATAATAATAACAATAATGGTTTAATGAGGGCATTTCTACAAGGTAGCTCTA